TCTATAGCAGGTCCATTAAACCGCTTAGTCTCCTCCTCACATGCGCATGCCAGCCCATCGCCTTCCACGTCGAGCGCTATTTGCACTCCCAGGGAGCGATTGGAAAAAGTGCCGCGGTGGACAGCCGATGACGCGGAGAAGGAGTATGAAGAAGGCGACCTCAAGTTTGGCAGCAGTCGGACCAGTCCGCCTTCCAGGTTGGGGACCACGAGATGCTGAATTGCAGTGGCTGGAAACATTGGACGTCATGGCCCGCAACAGACATCAGTGGCGGCAATGTTGTTCCGCAATTTCACCATCCCTTTGATACACACAAAAACTCACAAAACATAACAAAAAATACAAAATGGCGTGTGTAAAACCAAAAAAAATTCGTTTCCCATATTTTTTAATCGCATTAGTGTCTCCATCTTCTTCACCTTTTTCTTCTGCCATGGTTCTGATGGCACAATGTCTGTTAACAGACTGTGAATAAATAATAATATAAGGGACATATTTGTTAACTTGTCTTACAGTTCATCTTAACAATAATGAGCGCGATACTCCTGAAACTACTTCACTAATTTCACAAACCGACCCGTAGCCTTGACGATCACAAACTTGCTTTATAATCCGAGGTCGCAGGTTCTAGCTTGTGTATGGACCGCGCGACCGTTGCATTATCTGTAGCTCACGTGCGACTGGTGGTGATTGCGCGTTGGCGAAATGTCGACAGTGCCTACCGGCGTGTTGCTGATGCCATTTTTTCCAAGCTAAAACGATCTTCATGAATTTGCGACGCTGTTGTTATTGTGATTTTCCTGTGCATACAGGACCACAAGAAGAGCGCTTTTTCCTTTACCGCAGTGAGACGGTTTCAGGTGTTGTTTTGTAAGCATTACTCTAATCTATCGACGTTAGAGAGTCTGCGACCATGGAATGCTCAGACGAGTATTAGGAACCATTGTCATGTCAGGTTGCTATACCAATGATAAGACTGGATACTTTGCATTGGTTTTGACACATAGGCCCGCTAGCCACTCTTGCCTTCGTTTTGCTTGAAGGGTCTATAATGACGTATGTGTCGAACGGAACAAACGTTGATTCGACAGGGGAAAACGATGCTTATGACTGTTGTATTGGGTGCTGTTGATCTATCTTATCTTCCGGGCTGGAATCAGCGCGATCCACTTTGTCCTTGGCGTCTGACGGTTGGACTAACATTTCACACTATGGATGCAAGTTTTTTCGCAATTATGTTGACTGTGCTAGGTGGTAGTAGCAACTTCATTTTCGCACCACAATCGGCTATTCGTTTTCTATTGGCGCTGTGTAGGCGCCATGTTTCTTTCCACCGAATATTTCTTTACTCTTTTCCCTCCTTTGTGGATCCTCTTATTTTTTCCCTACGTAACTGCAAAATTGCCATGACTAAGCTTTAGTCTATCCCCGTTAGTGATAATGAAAACCCGGATTTCTATCCATGGTTGTGTTGGCACAACTGTTCCCTTATTACTAAGATATTTAGTAAGGTACTCGATGGGTTTATCTGGCCCTCCATCACGTCTGCATACCTGCGCGGTTCGGATTGGTAGTTGAAACTTTTCTCTCGTAATAACCCAAAATGCTAACAACTTGTTGACTGTTGATCTGCTCATCGATCTCGCCGATTCGTTTGTAGGTCTTTTTCTTATTATCTGCGGCCTACCTCACTGATCGCACACTTCTTGGCGGTGTCTGAGTCGTTTAGACGTCTGGGCCACGGATTTGAACCTATGTGGGGACAGGTGATCTCGAGATGTCTACCCACATGTAGCTGCCGGCGGTTGCCTGGTACTGAGTCCTCGGCACAAGACTCGCACACTGCCGGTAACTATTTCCAGGACTGACGCTTGTTGCCCTGATAGAGCATAAAATGCCATCTGCCACCCTTTTCATCTGGCTTAGTCCTTTAGGATGGTGATCTATGTTTATTTATTCAACACTTTGCCAACAAACAATTAGCAATGTGCGACAGCACCTACAACAACTAAAAGAGGGGAGAAAAGGCAATCAGAGCATGAGAGTCGCACAGCCCTTTCGCCATTGGACACGATCCCGGACCATATCCGATAGTATTTATAACCAGGTGTGCTCCTTGTCCTAGGACCTCCAACCATGGAGTGTGCAACACCCCACCGTGGCCAACTGCAGTGTCAGAGCCTTGACATTTCGGACCCAGGTTACTTGTTAGCCACCTATCTGACGCTTCCAACCAACGCCTGCGCATGCAAACACATTGTGGCGAGGCAACCGTTGAGCAGGTATACAGAGGATGTGCCCGAGTCACCGGAGCGCACTCAAGGAAATCCTGCAGTTCAGTGGACGCCGGAGACTGTCTGACTTGGAAACCCTGCATCGAACGTTTTCACGCGGGCGCCAGAGATGTCAGAGGTTGGCAAAGGCTACTCCGGCTTTGGTCACACTTAAAGTGATTTCATCCGTCAACCCATTCACGCTGATGCAGCTCCTGAGATAAACGAACTTGTCAACTACTTCCAAAGAAGGGACGGCGTGAGCGAGTGTATGAGCAGCTTCTAACCAGTCGTGGTTGAAGACTGCACTAGTAAGAGCCAAATGTCCTTTCGAACTGTGATGCAGACATCTTCCACTTGCGCAACATGTCCTGGGCAGCCTGCGAGGTGTCATAGATTACGGCGATGTTGTCAACGTGCTCCAACTCACGGAGCCCACCACCCGGGGGTAACTCAACTCCACCAAGCCCACAGTTTCCCAGAGCCCTATCCAAGTGTCCGGGAGAAAGGAAGAGTTGCCTAGGAAATCCACTGCTTTAGCAATTGATCGATTATTAACGATTATCGCATCGATTTCAAACGTTCCGGAATGTTCTAGTTTCTGTACGTGACTAAAAACCACATGACACCTCGGCAAAAGCTATGGGGAGCCACTAGCCTTGGTAGCTGACCTTCCAATTCTAGAAGTCGAAGGTCAATAAGCCACCTAAAAATACAGTCAAGGTCCGCTGTGGTTGTACAGTTTTTGTTGACAGTTATTAATACGTTATTTTTTCAAGATCATTGATGTTCTGCTTTTCTCTTTGGTTGGGCTAGAAGTTTTGTGGAGCAGTAAAGTGTCAATTTCGGGATCGCGTCTAGTTGGAAGATTGTAACATTAAGCTATCACTGGTATCGAAGTTGAACAATAAGAGTGATGCGGGGCAACCCCGTCTCGCGAAACTAGCGGTACTAAAGGGGGTGAGACTTCCTTGTACGTTCGCACCATGCTCGAGGTTCGAGAGTAAATGTTCCCATGTTTTCTGAGCACTCCCCTTCTCAGCGGACAACTCCAGAGAGTAGCTCTGTAAACTGAGTCAACTGCTGCACGTACACTCAGTATCCAAACGCTTGTAGACCGGCTGAAAACGGCGGTGCTCGTATCTCTCTCTGCTCGTCAAGATATAGTCAATGCATCTCCTACTTGGACGAAACCCAGCCTGTTCTTGACGTATGCGCTCTGTAAAGGCAGCGAGGCGAGAAATCTGGACGTAAGGCATGTGAAGCTGACCCATCGGTTGTTCACGCAATCCGTTCAGCCACTCCTTTTGCAGATGAGCACAATGTCCGCGAAGTCCTTATCTGATAGAACGACTTATGTGGACCCTCACTTGAGAAGAACCGGAGTCATTTCATTTGGACCGCGATGGGGAGCTCATGGTTGATTTTTCTTCACCTTCTAGAAGGCGTTTGTCGGATGTTTGCATGATCCTACGCTTACCAGCTGGAAGATTCATTGTGATACGAATGCAGAAGTGCAGTGTGCCTGATGCCGTTACTCGCACCACAAAAGTCGACATGAGTGCAATGAATGTATACAAAAAAGAAAAGCAACTCATACTTTATGGATCAAAAAAAATTTCTTTTGTCACTACGCACCGAGACAGTCCCGATGTGCACGCGAAACACGTTTCGACCTTTGAGGCTCTCTTATCGACATTAGTATTCACTAAGATCAGCAGCCAGTCTACTCGAAGCATCCCACTGATGGGTCGTGACTGTCTCACTTGCATACCTCAGACGATATTAGTGTTTTGAATGACCAGTCTATGCACAGTTGCTCCTGATTTGCCTTCACTGGGGTACAGTTTGCCATAAGACCTTATTTTCACCTGATGATGGACCGTGTCCGCGTCTACGAGCTATGCAGGTATCTGAGAGTGAGGTCAACGACACTAACGCCTCGCACGCTCACCTGTCAGGCTGTGTAGAGGCGATTATTGCCCTGGAATTGTTAGCACTATAGGAGTTGACCATAAAGCGTGATTATCATTGCTTGCTCTAAGAACAATGTCAGTCAGTCAGTCATTGACTGCCGATGTAGCGTTCCACCAGTCTGCAGGAAACAATAGTTTTATTTTATCTTATGCAATTTATGCCTTTAAATTGGTTCAGTATGCACATAACTAAGAGAACACTATTTAGTGTGTGCAATTAATTAAGGGCTCTGTTGTGATAGGTGAGAAATGGTAAAAGCGGATGTTTTTCATGAATAAACAATTGCCAACGTTGAATATATGTGTGCACGTGGCTGCGTATCACTTCACAAGCATATAGGCTGCGCTCTTACATGCAGAGTTAGAAACTACGTACAAAAAAGAAATTTCTTCCCTATACACGAAACTTTAGAAATCATTTTCAGGGCAGTTAGATGTTGTCCATATTACATAATCAGTTAACTATGTTTTCACATCAGGATTTTTACAAAAAAGACCTTTCCGTGTGTAAATTTAGAATACAGACTAGTAGAACACTATATAAGAACGACTCCGATAAATTCGACTGTCAGTGTTGCGTTTACTTGTTTAGAGCTCTACCTGCTTGTGCAATGCGTGTGTCGTCTTTTTACGGGGACCCCTCGTCACAGAATTAGCTTCACATCTTCGGTTTTGGTTGTTAACGCTGCTGACCTTCGTTTTTTATATAAATGAATACGTAAATATGTGGAAGGTTTCTTCCCATCACTAGCTTCCTCTCGAGAATATTACTCCCGTCCGAAATTCTGCGCCAATCGAGCGGGCGAAAAGGTGTCCACCGAACAACTTCCTCGCCAAAGATCGGTCACCTTTGAACCTGCACTGGGAACAGCACCAGGAGATACAACTTCTGAAGGAACCATTGACAGTGACGTCGGCTCCCTCTATTGCAGCACCAGTCATTCTGCACCATCTCCATCTACAGCTCTTGATACTTGTGTCCGACCATCTTCAGATACAACCCGCTTCGTTCACGATCGTGATTCGGATGAAATCAGCGGTTCGTGTAAACATTTTGGTTTATTTTTCTTCGAAATTCACACATAATTCTCCCTTCAGGTTTCCCGCTAACAGTCGGTTTAGATGAATCCTACCTTATACACCGTACTCTGTTTACAAAGTGGAAATGATGCCCCGACTTTGTTATGGTTCACACTCCCCGTAGAAAGTCGAACCTATTGTTGCCCTGGGAGCGCGAGCGCTCTATCGATTCCTTCTCGAAGACATCTCATCGTTCTTTTATAGTTCTCCAACGGCGGTGTTTCCCCAGCATATCTAATCGCTATTTTGTTACACCGTCTCTGCAATTAAACAGGTTCATTATACGATTAGGACACTCCCTGATGCGGATAGGACCGCTCTGTCGACCCCACTGAAACAACAACCGTCCCTTTAGAACTGGTTTTCGGTGGATCGCAGAAATGCAAAGAAAATAAAAAATAACGTAATATGTCTACAACGAGAACTGAACAGTACAATACGTCGTTAACGTGAATGATCTTAACCTAAATGTTCTTCGTTTTAGTAAAATTTTATGTCCAT